ATTTTGTCACAGGGAAGATGCCCCCTTCTGAAAACTTTTAATTCTCCAGCAAATCAAACTCTTAATACAGAACAACCTTGGCTTCCAAGAAAGAAAGCAAACATTTTTATGGATGCAGGAGATACAATTAGAGGGAAAAATGCTGTATCAAATCCTCACATCCACCCAGAAGCAGAAAGTCATGCTCAAATTCACGTTAAATCCATGAGTACTAGTTTTATACAGCATAGACTGTTTCAAGATACTGATGACTGTCGAAGGAAATTTCCATTAGGAGCTCTTTTCAATGACACAAATGAAATGATACACTGAACTGAAGATTCAGTTCCTACTCATATCAGCAAACCTATCCCAGACAGAAAGTCTTCCTAAGCATTTTCAGTTCTTCGGGTACTATTGCCCTTGGAAAAGTAAACATTCTCTCACTAAAGAAACCCACTACACACAGTTAATTATATCTGATCATTACTTAACTGTTCCATTGGTAAAACCGGTTTCACCTGATGAATAAAGTTACTGAGAATATAAATAGACTATTACTCCAAACCGTTACTTTAGAAACACTGGAATAAAATATGGAAATACATTTCTTAATCACAACTTACACATTCATAGCGCATGCTCTGGGAATATAACACAAATTTCTTTGTAACACCAAAACTTTCTTATATAATACAGATATGAATTAATAGAGCTGGTAAAAGATCAATTAATGTAGGGAACAATAGTAAGAGTACCTGCACAGAATAGCCCTCTTTTTTTTTTTTTTTTTTGGGGGGGGGGGGGGAATATAATGGAATGCCAGTTCCCATGGAAACATGGGTTCTGCATCTCGTTCTAGCCATCACTGAACTTCACTCTTTCTTTGCCTTGCAACTCTGATCAGGTAGATCTCCTCCTTCTCCAGCTTTTAACTCTACTTTCAAAGTGGAGTTTTTAAAATCATACATTAGTCAATCCACGGTTTGCAATAATGTAAATATCATGCATACAACTTTAAAATAATACTGAGGATGAGATGCTGAATGTTTTAGGAGAGTGTAAAACAAAGTCAAGAGCCACAAGCTCAATATTCACTATGGTCCTTGTAGGAGATTTAGATATTTCTATTTCTTAATAACCTATTACCTCACCTGTAAAATGGGATCTCAGTGTTTATTCCCTTTCTTTAAATTTCTGAGATGCATACTTTTCATGTATCTTTAATTAGATGAGCCCATGCAGGAGGCAGAAATCATCCAGCAATATCTAAAAATGCTCACATTCTCCTATATTTTTGGCTGGAAAGAAAAATATCTGTATGGTTTCCACAATCTCCTAAAGAAGAGATTAGAGAACAGAAATGAGAACAAATTTTTGACCTTCAGCTGAATCCTAAGAGTTTGTATTCATGGTTCAGTCCCAAGTAACAAGTATAGTACAGTACAGTAAGTCACTGAAACAGATTTTCCCAGGATAATGCCCCTATTCACCAGCACTTAAGTAGAACAATTTATTTTGCTCTGGTTAACTGCTTTGCCTACGCATCTGACATTAAGCTTCAGGCTTCCTGACTGAGCGTGTAAGACATAAATCAATGTTGTACAGTTACGCATCGCTTCCCCCAGCTTTGCTGATTCAGGCAATTCAGAATAAAATACGAATCATTATTCAGATCTAAAAAATACAGGTTTGTAAAAATATTTTTCAAATTTTATTTAGCTTTATTCATCTTCTTTCACCTTAAATAAGGAAGTTGCACTTACATATCTTTGGTTTCAAAATAAACTGAAGTGTTTTGATGCGAGTAAAAGTCAAATTCCTTACTACAAAAAAAAAGTTCAAGCAACTAAGCTCTCGAGCGTTCTCCTTCCACAGATATGTGGCAGACCTTGACTCCCAAGCTTCTGTTGTCTTCAAATTACATATGTACATAGCGACATTACTGAGAAGTATGTGAAAACAGAACAGAGCATTAAAGACAGAGAAAAATTCTTGTAACGATCCTAACGCACCTCTCTTCTTCACGATAAAGAATACCTTTCCCCCAACAACTTGTCTGCAGCCTTTCTAAGTAATTCTCAGGCTTCAGCCTATGAACCTCTGAAAGTTTCCAGGAATCTGATTGTGGAGGTGTGGTTTTCCTGCACTTTTCCACTTTCTAAACTACTTTTAGAGGCAGTAAGCAATTTCTCAATATTAATGTTCCATCAACAGTTGTAGCAACAAACAGGAGTTTATATGAATAGGAACAGGAGAGAAAACTATACGTTATAGCTCCAAATTAAGTTTCTATACGGGACAACTGCTACAGTATGTATTCTGCAGGAAGCATCCCAGCATGATATGGAAATATACTTGCAGTTCAAAAAGCCATGGGGAAGCTGAACTTACTACAGGACAACTTCAAAAGTGCCTTTAAATTTAGGGAGCATAAGATGATTCTTCACGATATCCCTTTTATAGTTCTAACCTGAAACTGTAAAATGGAAAGATGCAATTAAAGAAGTCAACAGTGAAACAGAAGTTCCTCTCCAGAAGCAGAAAAACCTACTATCCTACATACACAAAGATGAAAATACTACACTCCACTAATTTCTCCATTATAATATACAAAACAGAGAGCAGTCTAGTATTACAAATGTACAAATAAAACTGCCTGCAGCTTTGTACAATATGCCATTTTTAATCTGAAAAAACAAATCAAAAATAGTTCTCCCAGATTAGAGGATTTGTTTCCTGGCACATCAGACAAGGAAAACTGACTTCTTCCAAAATGGACTGAGGTTGATAAACTTTCCATTACAGATACTAAAATTAATTTCTACTTTATATAGAAGCAGTTAATAAACTTCCTGCTATACAAATGAGTAATGTACTATTCCCAGTTGCATTAAATTCCATTAACAATTGTGAAGTTTGACAATAGTATTTCAGGTTTTAGACAAGCTTGTTTTCTCCTTTCAAATGTTTATAAGCTACACAAGGACTCCTAAATAGCTCAGAGTCAAACGAAGAACTCAATGGCTTTCGATATTTCTTCATCGGTATTTATTAATGCCGAGACTTTCGACATTAAAAGAAATAGGAAAGAAAAGATAACCCCTGCCAATGAAGTAGTAACTAATGGAATATCCTGAGAAAAAGGAAAGATAGTCAACATGAGCTTTTATACACGTAAAGTGATTAACAGTATAAAAAGCTTTGTAAAGAGGTATGACTTACATGAGACCAAAAAAAACCATACTGACACTAAAAACTTCCAAAAACATTTCAAAAGAAAGCTGCAATGTCTAATTTTAGAAATTCAAGTTACTCAGAACTAAGACTGTACTTTATAAAATGTAGATTCCAGATAACTATAGTTAAGACACGCTAAAGAGCTGGTAGGTTTAGGATAATCAGAACCATTCTGTATTGAATACACATCTAAACTTAGTATTTTAGCATGCTGTAAATCAGCACATTTCCACTGAATTTAATGGACTAGAAGAAGAAGAAAAAAGACGTACCCAGATCTCATTTTTTCTCTCACTTGAAAAATAACAGAATATAAATATACTATTTACGTACTATTATGAATTTTTTTTAAACTTGAATTCAAGAAATGCTAAGGTTTGTTTCATAGTATTTTACTCCAAGAAAGGATTACCATAGCCTACTGATCAGCAGACCTCACATCCTATCTCCAGAAAGTAACTCTATTTCCTGTTCAGATATGGGGTCTTGGGGATGAGCATGAAGACAGATTTTTTTACAGAAGAAAGAGTTTTTTCAGTATTTTGGTGGACTACACAGCTGTAACACCAGCACTGCACACATCCATAAGCGGCAGCAAGGCTCCTCTCCATACCCTGCAACACATGGACCCCACAATCCAGGGAGACTTGCACTGCACCACATCTCCCTGCTGGGTCCTACTACTCTGCGGGACCCGCAGGACAATGCATCCCTCAAGCATCAATCTCTGTCCACACTCCTTTCTCCCCCCAACATGACCCCACACTTGTGGCATCAGTCACAAAAGCCCCATGCACTGCACATCCAGCACCTGTCCCATGACAAGACCCCTGTCTCCACTCACATCATACGGAGTGTCTCAGGCACAACACCATAGGTGAGCTCAGACGTCCGTAGGCTGTATTATAGAAGTGTTGAAATCGCACTGTAGAACTTTCAGAAGTATCAAATTTTAAGCTAGTGTCTAAAGAACTATTGTTCATAGCCAGATAAACACATGTAACTAGTTCACGGGCTACTGAGCCTCAGGGTAAAAAAAAAGACAAGATGGATTAAATGAAGAAAGTCAGAGAGATTATCAAGATCAAACAGATCACCCAAGTGAAAAGAATGAAGGGCCTATTGAAGAAAAGTGCTGAATAGCCAGAACTCCTGTGTGAATAATGCAATTGTAGATGCCCAACATATTCCACATTCAAGCAGTAAATCTGCATCTCCTAAGCACCAACCGAAAACTCAAAAAATGTAATACTTCATTTTTCACTACAGAATGGACTGCTCACCAGGGTTTACTAACCAGAGTAAACCCTCTTTGGAAAATAACCATTTTCTTTACAATAATAATAGTCACAAACTAATATATGTTGACCTACCCTCACTGTATTTATTCAGTATGAACCGCTTTATAATACTCAAATTTTCTTATTCCATGAATAAAAATGATTCTTGCAAAAAAGAAATATATCTTTTTACTGTAAACACTGAAATTGCACAACAGAAAAAGAAAATATTTTTTATGTTGAACAACTTAAAAGCTGCTACCATGAGATAAAAGTCAATATCTCGGTAGCTCTGAAGAAAAGAGGACTGAATAAATACTTATATTAAAAGGCCAGAATTCAGGATGGATACAAGTCTTTTTCATCAAAAAGTCAAGCCCCACCTGACAGGCTTTAAAATAAAGCGTTGCTACAGGCAAGTTATTAATAACCGTTCTTCCAAGCATCTTGTAATCGCTACTGAGAAAGATCCTTACTCGTCTAGGTGAATGACTGACCAACCTTTTAAAGAGCAGGGCATCTTCCAAGGGTAACCACATGGCCTGGGACCACCACAGACAACTCCATAAACCCTTCAACAGTTTAAAGTGCTAATTATAAATAAATCAAATCAAATCTTTATACTTTACACAGAACAAAAAATACAGAAAGGGACAGCTGCAACAGTGCCAAAGTGCTTTCTTCCCCCTCGAGTCGCAAGAATGTTAACCCGTTTTAGTCGCTAGCTACAAAGCTAACACCGAGCAAACACAGCGTCTTAAAATAGCGGGAAGAAAAGACCCTCGAGTCCGGCTGGAAAGTTTGGGTTTCTCACAGGCTGTCACCCGCGGAGAGCATCGCTCCGCTCCGCGCTACCTGCGCGAGTCGCCGCGCCGGGACGGGGCCGAGCCCCG